ATTCCTCTCATCCATGGGTTCCTACATCCAAGGGTTCTCCCCTCCTGCCCAATCCCAGCCAAAGGAAGGTTTCAGTAACTTTTCCAAGCTCTCTTGCTTCATGTCAGGCTGGCAGATTCTCTAAACAGATTTATCAGCCTCCGCATCAAAGCTGCCTTCTGCTCCAACCCCCACAACAAAGCACTTTTTATCTCATATTATGATGCTGTTTATTACAGTTGAGGGGGTTTTTTTTGGCTTTGTTATCATTACTAGCATATTAAAATCTGCAATTTCTTTGATTGTGTTGAAAAGTCTTGTACTTGATTTCAGTATCCCATTCTTCAGTGGAATTTTATTAGTGTGGAACTGAAGGATAAGCAGCTTGAGAATAATAAAAGAAGTAACTCCATAGCTTTGTTTCAGAAATTGGTGGAGAAGGAAAAGAGGAGGTGGAGGATACAGCCAAGCATTTAAATCAGCTCAGTGGGCTTAACATGGAAATAAACTAGACATTTACTAACTAATTTAAGTAACATGCAGCAAGAAAACTGCATAAAGTTTAGAAAGGTTGTGAACAATTTTATTTCCACATCTTCTGTGAGACATTAAAAATTTATTCTAAAGTTGATGGCAGTATCTGAATTTTGTGTTTGAAATATCCATTCCACTAGACTGCATGTAATTTCACAGACAGAAGTAACACTATCCTCTCCCACTGCAGAGCTTTTTCCTTCTTTTAAAACACTTCATTTAAAATTCACTTAAATAAATTGTCAGAAAAAGGGGGGGTTTTATATATTGAGTTTCAAGAACAGTTGGAATTTTTAAGTGTTTCATTCCCATAGCAACTGTACCACTACCAATGAGCAGCAAATGTATCCTTCAGAGACATAAACAGCACAAAATGCTGCCAAAAACACCACAGAAGTTTGGAGGCAAAGTCAAATTTTCAGTTTACAGCAGCAAAGACCAGAGAAGCTGTACTGGTTAAACACCAGGGCTGGTAACTTCAGTAAGTAAATACTGACCACTCCTGTAGAAAATAGGTTTGAGATTATTCCAGCCCTTTACACAGCTCCCAGAGCCTCAGCCCTGCCTTTAGAGATGGATTCACTTCAACTGCAGCACTGAGTTCAGCCCTCACTGACCTCAGACCCTGCAAGTGAGCAGAACCCATCACTAAACTGCTGCTCCCTTCACCTGCACCAAGCAGGAGGCACCTGAGATCTGCCCTGTTCCCCTCTTGCATCTTCCACTTTTTCCCACCTGGCTGTGCTGCACTTCAGCACATAAATCACCCCTCATGTATTTATTTGATCTTGTGTTACACAGCTGTTCCTGTAGGAAGATTTCTTAGTCTGTTCTTTCCCTCTCATAGAGGAAGGTCACTCTTTAGCAGCACATCAGACAAGGACAGTTCTTTTAACTCACTGTATTTTGCTTTTTCTAACCACACAAAGGGCTTAGAGAACAGAAATCCAAGATTTGAGACCTGGAACAGCTTCTCTACTGGTTGCATATTTCTTTATACCCTCCCCTACCTTCTTTCCCCCTGCCCCCAGAACACAAAAAGGGAGAACCCAGAGTCCTTCCTCAGGCACTCACCAGTTCTGCAGTAGGGATAGGCATTCCATGCTTTTTCATGGATATTCAGAGCTCCTTCAGGGGCCAGCATTCTCACAAATGTTGGCACTTTGCTGTAGAATTTGGGAACAGGAAGAAAGGCATTGATAAGGACTACGTGGAATGAGAACTGAGACAGGCAGGACATCACCTGGAATGCAAACACCAGAGATCTGCACAGCTCTGGAATTGGTAGGACGCTCCCCAACCCCATTACCATGTTTTCCAGAAATTCTAAATCAGACATTTTAATATAAATCTTCTTTACATAATGAAAGATAAAATAAATGGGGGAAAAAAAGAAGCTGAAAGTAGGGTGAAATCTAGGAGATGTTTTGTTATTTAGCCAAATCCAAGTATGAAAATACTGGGTGGCAGGATCAGACTTGCTTTGAAAAGCTCCAAGCCAGATTTTCATGGGATAACAGCCACGTTTCCAGGGGAGGGTGGGTGTCCCAGTGATGCTCACTACCAGGTGCTGTCATTCTCCTGCCTTCTGCACCTTTCAGCCTTTACACAATCTGTGATTTACAGCTGCTGCAGCCCCTCTGGCTCCCCTTGGCCAGCTCTGGGAGTGAATGGGTTCCCATACCTCTGTAGGTGGTAGATCTTGTGTGTGTACTGCCCACGCTCTCCATCCCTCTCGTAGGGCTCGTTCACCAGGACTTCCACTCCTTCCCCTCCACCAGTTTCATTTTTACTGGCTTCTGCCACAGAATACAGCTGCCCCACTTGATACTGCAGAAGTTAAAGACACATTATTACCATGGCTATAATTCAGCTGAAGTAATAACTTTGCCAGAAGAAGCCAAGGACAAATTTATTACCCGGGGAGAGGGCAGAGAAAAGGACATCCACTGGTATGGGCAGATAAGCAGCTCATTTAATTTCATTTGAGATAGAAAGCTTGAGTGGTAGTTAGGAGGAAAGCACTGCCAATAAAACACCTTCAACCCTTCAATGTCAAGCTCCAAACCAACACAGAATCAGGAGAAAGCAGGAAAGAGTGAAGGAGCATCAGAAAGTAAGAAAATACAGATGACCTCAGGGGTACTGTAGCAAAATCCATTGGGTTCCACTGTTTTTGAGTGACACACAGCTGGTTCCAGAAAACTGAGAACAAGGCACTGCCAGTTCTGAATCAATAAGCACACAGTGCTGCATCCAGAGGAGTCCCAAAGAAATTCACATCAAGCTTTTTCATAAAATGCAGGGTAAAGGAGTGAAAATCTTCATAAGGGACACAGAAGATAAAGGGTGCTTGGGCCACCTGATTTAAGTGCTCCAAGAAACAAACTTGTTAAATGTGCACAGCTTAGGAGCCCTGAGGGTCAAAGATGAGCATCCCCCATGTGCAGTTCAAACAACTGAGTATGAAGTGTGAAGTAAAGAGGGTATTTTCATTCTGGAAACTTTATCTAATGAAATAACTGAGCCAGTGTCCCAAATGACCAGCTGATCTATGCTGTCACTGCTCCCACTATTATTTTTCCTATTATCTTTGGTTTGGGTTGTGTTGTTTTTCCTCTGTATCTCACTTCCTCTTAGCCACAAGCTTAAACCACTACCAGGGAGAACACAGAATTTCAGCATACAGTAAAATTCTTACCCTAAAATCATTTCTCAGTGTCTTACAGACACTCACTAGGCAGCATTATTTCCCAGAAATCACCTAAAGAACTTGATACTACACAATTTCTTTTGTAAGAGGCATTCACAAATGTTTCCCTGGGCAGAACAGAGGAAAAACCAAAAATAAAGAAAAGAGAACATTCTCCTCAGCAGAAGATGTAAAGATTAATACACTCTTGCCTCTTGTAGCTGAAAAAGGGGATGCAGAGCTCAAAAGAAACATGATCAAATGAAGAAAATTCACACAGGTCTCTCTGAGGCAAAGTTAGATGAGCAAAGTTTGAGGATGGAGAAGCTAAACCACTGACTTAAAAGGAAGAGTTCTAACTTAGCAGAGTTAAATCTTCAGAACTCTGAAGTGAGCAAAACAGCAACTGTTGCCAAAGGCAACAGTACAGGGACACAATCCGAAAGGGTAAACCACAAAGTGTTTGGCACCACAAGTGCAATGATAAAAAAAAAAAAAATCAACCACCAAAACCTCCTAAAAATTCCATAACATAACTACAAAGCAATGCAACACTGTTCAGGCCATCTTCCTTTTCCACAGCATAAGGCTGTGCATCAGAAACAGGAATAGCACTTCTGAAAGGCAGCCTGGAAAAGTGGAATACTGCTCAGAGCTGAGAACCCAGAAATACCTCACTGGGCTGGAACACCTCCTGCAATGAAGGAAGATTTCCACAGTCGTTAAATTTTGTTGTCACAGCATCCAAAATAACAACAGTGCCCAAAGCTCTCTTTGTGCCATCTGGTGCCAACAAAGGCCTGCTGGAAGAATAGATGGAAGCCAGAGTAGCAAGGCTGGGTGCCCTGGGGGCAGAACAAAAATCAGACCATTTCCAAGCTAAGGGCAGCAGCTCTGGATCTCTCCAGAAGGTCCTGGCCCAGGTTACATGAGCAGCCCTCACTGGGCTGGACAGTTCCTGCCTGTCACAGCAGGTTGGGTTTCAGTCTGGGCTTTGGGCTGCAATACAAGTCTGGGACTTCTGACATTTCATGCACCACACTGCCTTCCTTATGACTCCCTACACATGACCCACACAAAGCAGAACTCACCTCCCTCCAGAAGAGCAAAACAGGAGAGTTGTGAAACCTTAGAAGCAAAGTTGCTTTAGCAGAGTAAGAGCCACACAAACACTCAGAGAACAGAGTTTATTATGAGTTTGGTAAGTACAGGATTACAGGGAGGACTGAATGGCTTTGCCTGCTTTGCAGCAAGTCCCAGGCCAGAGCTCCAGGAGCACAAACTAATTCCTCTTAGCAACAGCCTCTTATTCATTCCTTCTCCCTTTCAAATACTTGGGTCAAAGTTCAGACACTAAGAAGATAAACCCTTTGGTTTAACATCTTCACCATTTAAACTTCCCTGTTATTTCTGAGCCTTTAATCACATTGATAAGAGAGGAAATGGCCCAAATAAAACTGTCCCAATGAGCAAATCCCACATCATTCTCCCTGCAAAGGTAAACAGAGAGAAAGATTTTGGCTCTGGGAATCTGAACTTCAGACAGACCTGAGAGCACCAAAAAACTCTTCTCTTCTGCAGGATCATCCCTCTTGCTCTGTGCCAAACACCTCTTACACAGCTGAGAGAATATCTTCATTGCACCAAACTTCCTCCAGCAGGCCTGATCTCAACACAACCATCTTCAAGAGCAGTTGTTTTCCTGAAAGCTGCTTTGAACGCAATTAATAAGATTCCTGTGTGTTTGGCAAGCTCCTTGCCATGTGAAAAGGAACAAAGAGGCAGCACAGAATGTGTACACACAGCTCTAATCCATAGCAGCCTTTCAGTGGCAGCTGGCAGAGCCACCCACACGAGTCCAGGCTCCCCAGGCTGGCACCTGCTGCTGGTCAGGGGATGGGGGCAGAGCCTGGCACCCAACACTCAACAAGGAAATTCCCTTTGCTCCCCACAGTGGGACAGGGGGTAACCCAGCACAGCAGGGCAGCCTGCACTTGAGCAGGACTGTGTTTTGGCAGGGTTTCCATGTAGAGGACAGACTGCTACAGTCTAACTCCTACATGCCAGTTTTAGTCATCACCAGGGCTTCTCTTGCACTGTTTGGTTCCCAGCTTGGCTAAGCAGCACTGAGCTCTGTGTTGATTAAGTCACAGCTCCCCAGTGCCTTCCTGATCACCAGTTTTCTCTTGAATTCCATACTATTGGTTAAGATCCATTTGCTAAGGGTGGAGACTGAATACAGAATCCCTGGTATATCACAGAACCTCACAAAAGCCGCCCTGAACCCTTTCATGAGGTCTCAAAGTTACAATTAATTTAATTCCCTATCTTACATGCTGGCATCAGATTTTTGCCAACAATTTACACACAGAAGATGTGAACTCTTAAGCCTTTTGAGCAAAAATCAACCATATGAAAATGAAATCAGAAGTCCTCCTGCTAGCCAGAGATACTTCATGAGCAGCTCTCAGGAGCAATAACAAGTCTCCAGAGCCCTATTTAAGAGTTCTGCACACAAGGAAATCCTTGAAAGCAATGAAGGTTTAACAGCTGGGTTGCAGAACAGACAGCAGTGCAGTGACCAAGTGATGCACAGATGTGTCAGCATCTTTGCACACAGGAAGGGGGATGAGGCAATAAACACAGCAGCACTCATCCTCTGAGTCAACACTGGAAATAACCTTTTTTCTTAAGCACACCCAGCTACACAGGCAAAACTAAGTGAACTTTAGAACTGCTCAGGGAATTGGCTCCTGAAATCTGCCCTGTCACAGGAAAAACACCACACCTTGGAAAGGGACATCACTCATGGGACACGGGGACAATGTGCAAGTGAGGGGAGAAATTTGATTTGGTCAGGTTGGGGGTTTCTCCACAAGGACCCAGAGTAGAGCAATACATGTCCTGAAACAGATAATCCCAGGGCACCCACAAAGGAGTTTGCCAGAGACTGACAGGTTTATCTGCAGGCCAAACCCTCAGTTTTCCACACAGGCAGTTTACACCCAAGGCTCTGAACAGGCAGGGAGGGACAAGAGCACAGGCAGGGACTCGCTTTAACTGGATGAAGGCTAATCCCAGTATCAGAGAACTTAGGAAAACCCTGAGTTGGGTTCCATCCAGTCTAACCCCCTCAAAGGAACAATCTGCATGCTGGTGCTTTGCCTTTCTACTTACACACCTTGACACCAAGGAGCCATCACTACAAGGCAGGGTTCCTGCTATTCAGGAAGGTCCTTTCTGTCCATTGAGCTCGAGCAACCTGCCATTTACCCACCAGTTTGCATCCCTTGCTTACTTGATAAAGCTGATCATGTTACTCCTTCCTCTGTCAAGCTCTTGCTCTTGTGAGTGGTGCTCAGGCACAATAAAAGATCCAAACTTCCCTACTCTCATACTTCAGTCTGACTCCTGCTAAAACTGCTGGAAACAGATTCATGCAGAAAGCATAAAAGCTACAGGTAGGGAGCAAGCAGCAGACAGAACTTCTGGCATTAAGAGCCTTGTTCTTGCACTAACACAGAACACAGATCCAAACCCACTCCCTGGTCAGAGTTCTGGGCTTTCTGTCAGTCTCTGATACCTGTCACAGGAACAAGAAACTCAGCTCAGACACTGCTTCTGCTTTACCAGCCAGTCTGATGGCTGCAGGAATGCACTACATGAAGTTCTAAACCGTGTTTTGTCAGAAGAGTGAGAGTTATAAAAGGGATGTGCTTAAAACAGTGCTGCCATGAGCCAGCCCACCACTGTCTACGCCACAGTAGCTGCTATATTGAGAGGAAGGAGAAATGAACAAGAGTGCTGTTATCACAGCTCTCCCCAAGAGTCAGAACAAGGCCTTGATCAGAGTTCACAAACCCAAGGCTCACAGCCAAGGATCACAAGGAAAAAATAAAACACATCCAGGAGAAGGAATCTGCTATGGAAGTGCTGTAGATTCAGTCATTTCAACTTCTACTTTGTTAGTGTAAAGATTAAAAAATTCAAAACACTTATATGGTTAGGTTCTCTTCAAGAGTGATGTTCAATGCAAGAGGAAGGAAGGAAAGGCAAGCTGAAAATCACAGGAAACAGGAGGGAAACAGCCACTGAGTCTGCACAGCTATTCCATGGGTGGTTTGGTGATGAAAATCACCCTGTCCAATAGAAACTACATTTCCTCTCTTAATTCTACAATTCCTCTCTTAAAACTTTGCTTTATCTAAACAAAAAGAAAGTTTTCTGCATGTAAGAGCTAAATAGCACAGGTCTTAAAAAGTCCTTTTGCTATGTGAGCCTCCTAAGTAATTCTTGATCTTTGCCAAAGAGTTTAAAACAAAAGAGCTCCAGCAAAACACAGTTTAAAAAGTGACTTAAATCTGTGCTAAAGCTTCCCCTTCGTGTTAAAAAAATACAAAAGAACAATAGTGCTAATGAAAAGGAAACTGCACTTGAAAACAGCCTGACAGCTCAAGATTTATAATCAGCATATCTGAAAGTATTTTGTAAGAGAGATGATTGGCACCCTCAGACTTAATACAATTATTTGGTCAAAAATGATGGTGAATGAGTAACAGCTCACAGGGGCTCCTGAAGACAGCTTGCATTTTCCAGTTTTTGTTCCTGCTTTGATCACAGGTTTATTTACAGTCCTAAAGCAAGAAGCAAAGAACTCACCTCCTCCACAGACACGGGCAGGATAACTCGGCTGGAAAGGAAACAGAGACAGGAATTAGCAAATATCCCTGCAGCCCCCAAATCCCCAAATCCCTCCCAGCAATGGCTGCACAGCTCTGCTCTCCCCCCAGAATTCCAGCACCCACCCAACACTCCTTAGGCCAAAGAATATTTATATAACAACCTCAAAGAGAAACAATACGTGATAGAGCATAATTGCAACCCTCTCTTAAAACTCTGTAATTCAACTGGTGATCCCTCAGTGGCCTACAAACCCACACAGGGTGATCCCTCTCACTGCACCCTTTCAGCAATCCCATCTCATTCCTCATCAAGCTGCTGGGGAGCTTTCTGTGGCCTCAGCAATTCTGCAGAGATCTGCAATGGCCACAAGGCACGATTTGCTCACATGTCCCAAAGCAGCAGCAAACAGCAGAGGAAAGGCTTTCTCAGAGCTCACTGCAAAGCAGGGTGCAGCCACTGCTTTAAATCATTCTTTTTTTTATTATTGTGGTTTCCTGAATGCTTCTGAGAATCAACTGACTGGACAACAGAGCAAAAACTGCCTGAAGTCACAGAGATTTTTTAGAAAAGGATCAATTTAAAGCTGACAGAAATACATGCTTGTTAAAGTCTTCTCCAAAACTGGATCTGTGGTTGTTTTCTGCTTTCAGCAAGGATGATGTCAAACAAGGAACCAAAGCAAGAAACAGATAGGAAATGGATATGGCTACCATGGCAGAAGAATTCCCAATTCTTTGGGAATTAGTCTCAAAGGAACTAGGATACAATCAGGAAAAAAAGCCCTCTGTATTAATAAACTGATTATGAAAAAGCAATTGTGGTGAAAATAGAATTCTTTTTTTTACACTTTACCAAAAGAACAAACTGCAATAGGGGCAAAAGATTACAGATTATGCAAGATTACTTGTGACAGCAACACTTTATGCTGACTGCAAAGTACTGCAGAAAGAACTACTGACAACTGCAAATGAAGTTCAGTGTCAATAAAATAAAAAAAGAATAATGCACTAAAGGGACTCATTTTCACCAAACACATGGGGTTAATGAGCCCCAAGTTAGTTACTGCCAATATCTTGTGCCTTTATGGAAAAGCAGCAGGAAACATCAGCTCAGTGGCAGTTCACAAGTAAATCCAACAGAGAAACTGGAACAGCACACAGACAAAAAAGACAATTATGTCACTAGAATCTCCCACATCTTGAATATTGCCCATAGTCCTGGTCACTTTATTCAAAGAGGATACAGAACAAGTGAAGGAAGTTTAAAAAGATTATTGGAGATGGGGAAAAGCTTCTGTGTGAGGAGAAAGCAGTTAAGAGAAAAAAAATCAGCTAAAAGGCTCAGGTATGGAAGAGTTTTAAAGATCATAAATGATGCAAAAATAAAAGTGAATGGAGAAGGAAGAGTGACTGTTTTACAACAGAAAAATCATTAGGCAACAAATTTTAGACCAAGTCATGTGTGCTTCTTTACATCAGGTCTACTGAAGACATGACATTCCTTGCCAAACACAGGAAATAAAAACAATTTAAAATGGGATTTTAAAATAGAAATCCATGTGTCACTTGCTGGTAGGATACATTGAACTGTAATTGTTTTACCCACTGTTACATATTGTTTCCTGAAAATAATATGTGTGTTTCCTTGCTGAAAGGGAAGAGGGGAGAGGACCAACACCGGTGTGGTGTAAGGGAGGATCAAAAAAAGGAAAGGGATTTTCACAGGTAGACTTTGCCATTGAGCATAGTGTTGGGTTAACTGAATAAAAGTGCAATAAAAGAGGTGCTGGATGATAAATTAAAGTGAAAGACCAAGAAAGAAGGAAAAACCAATTTATTTGGAATGGAATTAAAACATTTTTCTTCAGAAAACCTGGTGTAAAACATTGCTGTAAGCAAATTAAATTCTATTTAGGAAACTGGAAGACACTAAATCTGAATTGTTATCTTAGAGCTCAATGGAGAAACAAACACAAACAAGATGAATGGTTTGCAGTTTGTTCAGCCCAAACCAAGAGAGTGGGGGTGAAAACCACTTACAGGTAGTCAAGTGATAAAGGAGGAGGAGGGAAACTGCTCAAAAGGATCTTGAGGAAAACCTTTGCAGGAGCAGCAATGGCAACAAAGATTCCTAACTTTAGGACAGAACTTGCACAATTTATGAGAAATTATATGGTGTGGTCAGCCTGAAAATGGTGAGGAACATTTGAGATCCCTGTTAGATTAAAATCTGCCTCAAAGGACAGCAGAGGGAAGTACAGCTGCAGGGAAGGTCAGGCATCATCGTCACTTCACAGGAAAGGGAAGTGAGTCTCCACACTCTGATTCTCCTCAAGGTCTTCCAAGGCAGTTTAAATCAAAATAAGGACAGCAAGCAAGACTCCAGCCAGCACTTACAAACCCTGACACCAAAAAAATGCAAACAAATGAACACAAAATGCAGGCAGGTGATCTGCAGCATGCACGGACAGAAATGCAAGATAAGTCTGAAAGTCTGACAGGACAGCAAATGAAAGGGTTAAAGTCATCACTGCATAACCATCAGGACAAGAAGCTGTAGAGAAATGATGATACAGAGTTGTCTGATAATAAAATGTGACATCAGGTTGTTGTTCTATTGCTTTATTTCTGTATCAGCTCCTAAAATACTTACAGGCATAATAAAATCCATCTGATTTACTAGGGAGAGTGTGACAGGGGGTCACAGAGATGGAAGAATAATCTGCTCAGATGAGATGGAGTTACAGATCATTTAGCTTTTTACCACCTATGGTAGGAAGGCAGTAATTACCTGCATGCAACCAGAACTAACAAAAGAAACAGCAAAGCACTTCAAACAGCCAGCTCACACCAAAACAAGAGGTTTCAACATGCCTTAAACAACTGCTTCCTGGAACAGGAGATTTCATCAAAAACCATCTCAAATGGGATGTAAATTGAGCACGCACAACACCAAGAAAATTTAAATCTGAGCCAACACAGTGACACAACTCAGAATGTGCAACTGTCAGAGGTGGCTGGGAATCTCACAAAGTCAGAAATTAATTTTCATTTGGAAAGTCCAGCAGCAACCTTGACTGTCCTTAGAGCCACATTTGTCTTACTAAGGGCAAAACAAAGAGAAGAGAAGAAAAAGTATAATGGCAACATTAAAAAGGTTTAGTGACCCTTTTGAAAATACAAATGGAAACCTGTAAAAGGAAACCAATGTAGTAATTCTGTTTTTTTTAACCTTTACTCTTAACGTTTACACTTCCCACCTTGTTTCTGAAGCAAGCAGCGTGAAAGACCAGTAGGCATGCTGATATGGCGAGGTAAATAATATTGAGTAAAATGACTTTTGGAAGTGACAGTCATGAAAATGAATTGCTCATGCTGTCAGAAATCTGATTCAAAATACATATGTTCTCACCTTCACAGCGCAGCTCACTGATAATGAGCTTTACTGTGGCACAGGGCAAGGAATTGCGAGCAGAAAAATGAAAAAGATACACAAAAAACCAGCCAGGGTGCTCTAAGAGGGAAAGCAGTAAATCCACAGGAAAACATCAACAAAACAGATGTTGTAGAAGGAATTAATTATCTTTTCATGCACCTGAAACTAAGCACTTAGGCCAGGTTTCTGCCTGCTATCCAGTTTAACACTACAGAAGGTAATGGTGTTTTTGTGTTAGCAGCTCTGCTGCTGCTGCTCCTGAATTCTACACTCCTATTGTTTGGATAAAAATAGCAGGGGTTTAAAGATTGGGGGAAAAAAAAAGTTAATCACGTTTAAAGGCAACTACAAGGATCAGCACGACTCTCAACGTAGTTTTAATATTTCAATCCACACCATGGTCCATAATCTTGCAAAATAATTCCTGTAAGGAGGACACAGTCATGTAGGTAAATGTGTCTAAGAGAAGACCTGAAAACCCACTTTATCACTGGGATCACAGGTATCTTTTGGAAGGGGAGAAAGAAAAAATAAACAGAAAGCTTCTTCCATCAGCCAAAAGAAGTTTAAAACGATGGAATGCACTTAACTTGGGAATGCACTTGAGTTAACCTTAAGAATTCAGGAAAGAACTATGTGCAGAGTGCACACAGCCCTGAAGACACCCAGGCAAAGTGCACCGGTCCAAGAGTGGATTCCACATCAGCACGCACAAAGCAGCTGAACCGAGCACTGTGACAAGCCGTGACTCACAGCCACACACCCTCACGTCCAGCCAGCTTCCCACCCTTCATCCCCATCACAGGGCAGGACACCCGCAGCAGCCTCAGCGTCACTGAACAACTCCAAGGTGAGCCTTCCACACATAAAAAATATTTCGGAGCTACCTCATTTCTGACATTTCAGGAGTCCCTTACTGGAAAATACACAGGCGAAGGCGGGAGGGGATCACAGCCAGGCTTGACACTGGCTCTGTTACAGCAAGCAAGACGCCCCTGCCTCCCTCAGAGCTCCCACAGAAACCG